AACCTGGGGTTTTACCATATTTTAGTTTATTAATTATCTCTATAATCTCTTCCTCTTTTATTTCTTTATCTAAGTCTTTTTTATCGTTCTCTGATATTTCACTCTTAACATTTTCTTTAATATAAGTTTCTATATCTTCTTTTGATGCGCTATTACTTTTATATAAATTTTGATAAAAATCTTGTATAATCTTTAATTTTTCTTTCATTAAACTGCATAAACTGGACATTTCTAAGCACAATACCTGGAAAAATTAGATAAATGCTTGTAAAAAGAAAAAAAAATAGCTTAAACATCAGTATAAGAGAACAGACTATAAGGTTACCTGTAAGAAACCATGGTTGATGTAGAGTTGAATAAAGAAACGTCCCACTGTTGTTGGTCTCTGTTCGATATATAGAAGGACTCCCTGGAATCCAGTAGTCTGAAATTCTAAACTGATGTTGTTTTGTGGATGCAAATGGAAACCCTGAAATTCCACATAAGAGTCTTCTTGAAAGTGGATGTAGCTAAAATCTGCAGAAATTTTTAACACATATTAATTAATTACATGTTGAAGAATTAAGGGAGGATGTTCTTCATTATTAAAAATTCATAGGTAAAACAGCATCACTTACGATCAATCATGCATGTAAGTAGAATCCCTAATTGCCCAAAGTTTGGATGGCAGGATTCCTGAGCATTAAATATCATAGTACAACCAGAAATCAATGAGCAGAACTTTTATCTAGTATGGAGACTCAGTGATAGGGAAGACCTCCACTTTCAGAATTCTGCCTATTATGCAACAAACAGATTTTTGCCCCTTCTGACCAGGTACCCCGAATGGTTAGTTTATATAGTTCACACTATAGGAGTTCTTGGGAGCAAATTCTTTTTAAATTGTTTGAGAAACAGTAACCATCCACAAAATGCATTGACTGATGTCAGCATCCCTATAGTAAGGTGCATGCGTATCCACTGGACAAACACAGTGAACCCATCAACAATGACTACACAAAGAATCTGGTGCATACAATCAGCTGCCATGTCTCCAGCCATGAATAAGATGAATGACTGAAGTTATTATTCACACAAAAATGATCAAAACATTAAGCAACATAAAATGATAAAAGGCAGGTGAGAAGAAAGATTTCAATGTAACATCTAATTCAAGAAGCAGTGCTGAAGGGCCAAGCTGGATACTAACATATTTTCCCCCTAGACCTCAAGTTGATTCCAGAATGCAAAATTTCAATGTGTTGCTAAGAGAGTAAATAATGGGGTCTCTTCCAGTTCTACAATTCTGTGATTATATGATCTGCCTATCTTACCCTAAAAAAAACTAAAAGTGACAGATCATCACACTGAATTCTATTGTCTTTGTATACTTTGTTCTGTGTGTGGTGTGTGAGAGTTCATGTGTAATATTCACATGAAATACATTTTTCAAATTCAGAATTTCACAGAGTCTTATTCAGTATGTGACGCTGGCATTTGAAGGTGTTTTGAAGGGCACAAGTCTTGCTTTCAGCCTTCAAAGGAAGGGGGGAGGGAGAGGGAAACTTCACAGTTTTTAGCACACTTGGTTCAACAGCAGCCATGACAACATCCTCCCATTTTTAACACACTCAAACAATTCAAATTCTGAAATGCTTAAACAAGTTAAGAGGTGGCATCCTCAACCCTGATATTGATGGCTACAGAAGAGAAGCATTGCCAGAATCAGGGAGCTGTGGGTGTTTCTACCTCAAAAAGCACAGTGTACCTTGGGGGAAATACACACAATCAGGAAGCTTGCTTATAAACAAGTGGCAGGCCATGAACCCCAATGGCAGCTCCTTTGCCGAGTCCTTTGCATGGTTTACAAACAGAATAAACTGTGAGCTTGCAGCCTTTTACATGGCTAGTTGCAAAAGATTCAAAAGGATTTACTTGTAACTAGACTTATAAACTGTTCGTCTGATTCATTAAGTTAGCTCTCCCTCTTTTTGCCTAATTGCTACAACTGTCCCACAACAATACAAAGCCTCCCTTCCTTAAGTCATAAAAGGTTTTGATTATTTAAACAGATAAGGCCAAGGCACAATCAGGTTTGGAAATCAGCCAGAGGCTTGTGTTAGTTCAAAGGTTAAACTACTCAGAGGTTTATACAAAAAGATACAGTAACCAGAAACCTCAGAATGGCGGTTGGCAGTGGGGGAGCCTTCTGGCCTAGCCCTCCATTAGAATTTTTTCCTCAGCGAATGTTGGTTTTGCCCTATAGCTAGGGAAGCAACTCCAAGTTGCCAGTCTTCTCCAGTAAGGGTGACAGCTTGTCATGGAGAGCACTACCTCCCGTTTATTTTAAAATCTGGACTGTAGTGAATGCTGTATTATTCCCCGATCCAACGGTTGTTGTTATTTATGTAATTTATTGATTTAATTTGTTGTAGTAATTTATTGCTATCATTTGTTGATTTTTTGATACTTAATTTTGTTACATTTTCATACTTACATGTGTTTGTGGATTATTGGTTCAATCTAAATATGGAAGATATTAACATAAAGGCTATCCCGGAGACAACTAGAAGGGGCAGATATGATGTGGGGACGAAACAAACCATTACAGAAGAGGTCATTCTAAATAACACAAACTGGAGCTCGAAACAGATACAACACATATCTGTTTTGAGCTCAAGTTTTCCTTCCTGCCAGCAGTATTGAGGTAACCAGCTCCACCGACCCTCTGATCTGACCCTCCCGCTGATCACTGCTAGGTCAGTATATTGAGAATTAAGTAACTTAGATTTATATTATATAGGCTGTATATTGTCTCCCTGCTTATTTAACTTCTATGCAGAATACATCAGGCAAAAGGCTGGACTGGAAGAATCCTAAGCCGGAATTAAGACTCCCAGAAGAAATATCATCAACCTCAGGTATGCAGATGATACTAGTTTGATGGCAGAAAGTGAGGAGGAAATAAAGAACCTCTTAATGAGGATGAAAGAGGAGAGCGCAAAAAATGGTCTGAAGGTCAACATAAAAAAAACCCTAAGATCATGGCCACTGGTCCTGGCAAATAGAAGGGGAAGATATGGAGGCAGTGACAGATTTTACTTTCTTGGGCTCCATCATCACTGCAGATGGTGACACCAGCCACGAAATTAAAAGACACCTGCTTCTTGGGAGGAAAGCAATGACAAAACTCGACAGCATTTTAAAAAGCAGGGGCATCACCTTGCAAACAAAGGTCTGCATAGTCAAAGCTATGTTTTTTCCAGTAGCGAGGCACTGAAGTGAGAGCTGGACCATAAAAAAGGCTGACCGCCAAAGAACTGACACTTTTGAATTGTGGTGCGGGAGGAGAGAGACTCTTGAGAGTCCCCTGGACTGCAAAGAGAACAAACCTATCCATTCTAAAGGAAATCAACCCTGAGTGCTCACTGGAAGGACAGATCCTGAAGCTGAGGCTCCAATACTTTGGCCATCTCATGAGAAGAAAAGACTGCCTGGAAAAGACCCTGATGTTGGGAAAATGCAAAGGCAAGAGGAGAAGGGGACGACCGAGGATGAGATGGCTGGACAGTGTCTGCGAAGCAACCAACATGAATTTGACCCAACTCTGGGTGGCAGTGGAAGACAGGAGGGCTTGGCGTGCTCCGGTCCATGGAGTCACGAAGAGTCGGACATGGCTTAACGACTAAACAAGAACAAAAATTGTTTACTGAAACCACTCTTCAGTGATGTATGCCTTAATTCTTTTTAGTAAACACTCTATTTTATACTACATCATTATGTGGCACTATTCTGCATCATTATATGGCACTATAGTTCAAAATATAGATTTAACATTTTTGTAATAATTCAGTCTCAGCACTCAATTACTGCTGGTGTTTTGCATGCCACTATTTTGATGTGACTTGGCTGATGTCAACAGCTGGGCAAAAGGATCCCTGTTTGTTTCACTCACAGAAAGAAACCACTTCCACCCCCCGATTCACAAATGTATGTAAGCAACTGAGCAAAAATAAACAATTCATGATTGTGCTTACAGGATTCACAACATAGAAACCATTACCCAGTGACTATATTAGATTATCATTCTCAATAACCCTTCATGGAAACATTAAGGAGAGACTTTTAAAAACAAATCTAGATGTGCAGATTACATTGCATCGTTGTCTAGAAGAGGGTATTCCATCAGGTTGCAATACTATGCAATGGCAGGCTTCACCTGCTACGATTTCTCCTTTTGCACAACTTCAAAAAGGTGCAGAGGCCCTGCTCTCTTTGACATTTAGTCACTTCCAAAATTGTCCTTACCACACAGACCAATCAGTTTGCAGTTCCATTTATAAGTATTCTTTCACACTTCCCAGTTTCCTTAACTGCCACTCCTGGCACACATCCCCACATACATCAATGGATCAATTAACCCTAATCCATTGCCACACATGCAAATACAAACTTTGAGGTAAAATATCTATAAAGCGTAAAATTGCCACACCTTTTAACAGCTTCATGAGGTAGATACAATTGTTGCCTCCCCATTTTTGTAGATGAGGCTGGGATTGCCTAAAACCACTGGTGTTTTTCTACCTGAGGGGAAAATTTCATATCCAAAAAGGAGGTGGCCAATGTGGATGTGGGTAACCATCAAATCCACTCCCTTGGTGTACATTCTGTTGCACAGAAGCAAACAAAATAGTCTCCAGACCTCCCACCATTTGATTTTTTTAAAAACACAGCAAATTAACCAAATAATTTTAATAAAAATCTATCAGAGAAAGCACACACCATTAACAAAATAAATAACACAGCAAATTCATGGAATAACATTTTTTTAAAAAATCAATCAGAGAAAGCACACACACATTACACACAGAAAAAGGACACAGCTACTTCTTTCGGAAAACAAGAAACTAAACAAGTGAATAAAGGCAAAACCCAATAATCAAAGCCCTCCCAACAAAAACTACCAGACTAAGAGATCTGTCTCCCATCTGCACTTGATGCCTTCTCTTCTCTTATTTGAGTCCAACAGGCAGCAGCAAAAATGATCCAAGAAAGGAAGGAAGGGAAACATCGAGAAGGAAAAGAAATTTGGGGTTGGGGTGGTAGGGACTGAAAACAATACTCCCAAGAAGGCATGCTGACAGGTTGACTATCTCGTGGCAGCAGCAAAAGTAAAAAAAAAGGAGGGGGATTTCGCACAAAATTTTTTAAAAAGGCAAGAGAGGAGAAAAGGATAATAGATGGAAGCAGTGAGAGAGGCAGAAAAACAGGCAGCACAATCCAAGATGGAGGGCACCAAGAACTCAGCAGCACACAATAGTCTCACCCAACAGGAATGACTGAAGCAAAGGCATATCTGGGTTCCAACCAATCCAGGCCCTTGTAAAGATTTAAAAAATCATTCTCTCTTCCCAGACATTTTAATTGGCTGCTGTCAGTATTGGCTGAAAAACATTCTGAGCAATTTGACAGACAGAGGGTGAATGAAAGGTTAAACAAAAGAGGGAAATATATACACACACATACAGGAACAGTTGTGTGCCTTTTTAAAAATTCATGTGAATCGTTCGTGTTTTAGAGGCTCTCTTTTGCCAATAACAGAAAGAACATGAAAATGAAAAAAGAGCCTCTTTTATGATTTTTGTTGT